GGTAAATATTTTTTCCCATTGCGTAGGTTACCTCTTCACCTGGATGATAGTATCCTTTGTTGTACAGAAGCTTTTAGTTTCATGTGGTCTCATTTGTCAATTGTTGACCTAATGACTGAACAGAGTCCTGTTCAGAAAGTTCTTTCCCGTACTTATAAATTCCAATGTATTCCCTACTTTCTCCTCCATCTGTTTTAGGGGATTGGGTCTTATATTGAAGTCCTTGATCCATTTGGAACTGAGTTTTGTGCATGGTGAAAGATAGGAATCTAGTTTCATTCTTTTTCACGTCTGTATCCAGTTTGATCAGCACCATTTGTTGAACATGCTGTCTTTTCTCCAGTGTGTTTTTGTGGCTCCTTTGTCAAAAATCAAGTGGCTGTAAATGTGTGGATTTAAGTCTGGTCCTCAATTCTATTTCACTTATCAGTGTGTCTGTTCTTGTGCTAGTACCATGCTGTTTTTATTATTATAGCTCTGTAGTACAATTCGAGATCAAGGATGGTATTGCCTCCAGCAGTTATTTTTTAAATATTTATTATTTTTATTTTATGTGCATGCATATGTAATTGTACCCATGTCATAGAATATCCATGGAAGTCAGAAGAGGGCATCAGCCCCTGGAATTGGAATTACAGATGGTTGTTAGTTGCCATGTGGGTGCTGGGAACTGATCCCAGGTCCTCTGCAAGAGGAGCCAGTGCTCTTAACCACTGAGTCATCTCTCCAGCCCCAGAAGTTCTTTGTTAAAAAAATTATTTGCTTTATTTTATGTGTATGAGTGTTTGCCTGGATGCTTGTAAGTGCAATGCTTATTGAGGCCAGAAGAGGGCACTGGGTTCCCTGAAACTGGAGTTAAGGATAGTTGTTAGCTGTCATGTGCTGCTGGGAGTTGAACCTGAGTCCTCCACAGGAGCAGCCAGTACTCTTAACTGCTGAGTCATCTCTCCAGCCTTAAATCTAAGAAATTTAAAATTTCCCATTTGATTTCTCCCTTGATCCAAATTTCATTCAGAACTGTGCTGTTTAACTTTCCATGAATTTGTGTATTTTTCCCCCATTTTCATTGTTGATATCTAGTTTTATTCCTTTGTAGTCAGATATAATACAGGGTGATATTTAAGTTTTTGGAAATTTGTATTTTGTGGCCAATTTGGAAGAAATTCTATGAGCTTCTGAGAAGAATGTGTATTCTTTGGTGTGTAGGTGGAATGTTCTGTAGATGTTTGATAGGTCCATTTGACTTATGGTGTCGTTCAACTCCAGGGTTTATCTATTTAGCTTTTGTCTGGTTGACTGTTTATTGGTGACAGTGGGATATTGAAATCATTCATTATCATTGTATTGAAGTCAATTTGTCATTTTAGACCTAATAATGTTTCTCTTATGAAATTTGGTGCCCCTGTGTGTAATGCATATATGTTAGGATTGTGATATCTTCCTTCTGTATTTTTCCTTTAATGAGTATGAAGTGACTTTCCTGTCTCTTCTGACCAGTTTTATTTTGGAGTCTGTTTTGTTAGATATTAGAATGGCTATGCCTGATTGTTTCTTTGTTCCATTTGCTTGAAATATCTTTTTCCATCCTTTTAACCTAAGTGTTGTCAATCACTGTTGATGAGATGTTTCTTGGAGGCAGCAAATCGATTAAACCTCTTTTCTTTTCTTTCTCTTTTTTTATAAAGTCTTAAAAATTCGAAAAAAAATTATTCTTATTTTATGTGTATGAGTGCATGTATTTAAGTGTACCTCTCTAGTGCAGTGCCCATGGAGGACAGTAGAGGTCCCTAGAACTGGATTTACCAACAGTTGTTAGCTGCCATGTGCATGCTGAAATTTGAACCAGGTTCTTCTGCAAGAACAGCCAGTGCTCTTAGCTGCTGAGCCATCTCTCCAGCCCCAGGTCCTCCTTACTTATCCAATTAGTTAGTCTGTGTCTTTTTACTGGGGAGTCACGATCCAATATTAAGAGTTATTATTGACCAATGTTTATTACTTTCTGTATGTTGGTGCTGTAGTGCTGTTTTCTCAGACCTCTTTTTGTTGGCTGTTCTGGGATAATTTGTCTATTCTTTGTACCCTGTTGAGAGTGTTTAATCTTTTCTTCTGACTGAAGTATTCCATTGTGTATTCTCTGGAGAGCTGGTTTTATGGACATAAATTTCTAAAATCTGTTTTTATCAATGAAAGCTTTTCTTTCTTCTTCAATTACAATGGATAGTTTTGATGGGTATAGTAGTCTGGGCTGGAATCTGTGTTTTTTTCATGACTGTTAGGACAGTGGTCCAAGCCCTTCTGGCTTTCATCGTCTCCACTGAAAAGTCAGCTGTTATTCTGATGGGCCTGCCTTTATATGTATGTGACTTGATCTTTCTCTCTTGCAGCTTTCAATATCTTTTGTTTGTTGTGTGCATTTAAAGTTTTGACTTTTATATAACATTGGGAGTTTCTTTTTTGGTCCTATTATGTATTCTGTATGCCTCTTACATCTTGAAAGTTATCACTTTCCCTAGTTTTGGGAAATTTTCTTCTATGGTTTTGTTAAAAATATTTTCTGTTGGGGCTGGAGAGATGGCTCAGTGTTTAAGAGCACTGACTGCTCTTGCAGAAGACCCAGGTTCGATTGCCAGCACCCACATGGTGGCTAACAACCATCTTTAACTCCAGTTTCAGGGGATCCTACACCATCTTCTGACCTTCACAGGCATTGCACAACATGGGTGCACTTACATACATGCAGGCAATACACTCATATACATAAAATAAAAATAAATTAAATATTAAAAAATATTTTCTGTGCATTGACTTGGGTTTCTTCTCTTTCTTCTATGCCTATGATTCATAGGTTTTGTCTTTTCCCAGGGTCCCAGAGGTCTTGAATATTTATTTCTTGGCTTATTTAAATTAATTAATTAATTTTATTTTATGTGTATGAGTGTTATGCCTGCATGTATGTAAGTGCCCCTGTGTCATGCAATGCCTGTGGAGGACAGAAGAGGGCATTGGATCCCCTGGAACTGGAGTTACCGACAGTTGTTGGCTTCTATGTGGGTGCTGGGACTTAAACCACATTCTTCTATAAGAACAGCCAGTGCTTTTAACTGCTGAGCTATCTCTCCAGCCCCCAGATTGTTTTTTTTTTGTTTGTTTGTTTTTTACGATACCTAGACATCTGGACTTGTGTTCTTGATGGTGTTTCTTGATATAGGTAGATGTTTTCATCTTTGTTGAGTGGTTATTTTTATCTTTGTTTGCTGTCTCCCCAATTTGTCAGATTATGGCTCAGCTGAGTAGTGCTTAGTGTTCAGTTTTGGGACTGCTTTATGATGGTGTGCAAGCTCAGTGTAAGAAGTGGGCTCAGTTATGTTAAAGGTGGGTGCAACTTTTGAGTAGAAGTTTCACGGTTGATCTGTCCTGGTTCTGGAAGAGCAGGGTGAGCTGGGTGGTTGCTAGGTGTGCAGGTTGGCTGATAGGTCAGACAGGGAGGGCTCACAGGTCTTGGGATGTCAGGATCTTACTAACCCAAGGAGGTTTGACTGCTAGGAAGGTCTGAAACAGCTCGCAGGTGGAGCTATGAAAGTCCCCAGAAAGTCCAAGGATCCTGGAAGAGGTGAGATCATGGACTGCAGGGAAGTAGTGGAAGGGAGACTTAGGAAACACATGTAAGTTTTTAAAAATAATTTTTTTACTTATTACTTTTATTTTATGTGTATGAGTGTGTTGCCTGCATGTATGTAAGTATACTGGTGTCATGCAGTACCCATGGAGGTCAGAAAGGGTGTCAGCCTTGTGGGTTCTGGGAACCAAACCTGGGTCCTCTGCAAGAGTAGCCCTTAACCATTGAGCCATTTCTCTAGCCCCCACACATTTAAATTTTTAATGAAAAGTTTAGAATTTTTTTCTTCCTCAGTGAAAAATTGTGCTTTAATACATAACTTTTCTGATAACAATAATAGAGAAATATGAGGATATTTTTTATTTTAGGAGGAGTCACAAGGGGAGCACATGCACACATTTTATTTTTATTTTGTGTGTATGTGTGTAGGGAGGTACATGTGTGCCACAGCATGAGTGTGGCTGTCAGAGGACAACTTGTTTGAGTCATTTTCTTTCCTTCCAGTATTTGGGTCCTGAGGATTGAACTCAGGTTGTCAGGCTAAACTATCTTGCATGCCCAATATATCTATTTTAAATAGGAAGGAGAAAGGGTAATAGGTGTTGACACAAGAAATAGAAATAGCTCTCTCTCAAAGGGGATAAGAGATAGTTTATTCTGGAGCCCAGCAGTTTATTCTTCGCCAAACCATGGTCTGGGAACACAGATTTAGATTATGCCAAATTCCATGTTCCAATGTGGCAGTATTTTCATGGAGATTTTATTGTAACAGAACAAAGAAAGTCATAAATCAACACTGTTTTCAAATGCATTGGTGGAAACATCAGATAGATTACAACAAAGAGTGGCAGTCTCTGTTACAGGCCCAGATGCTATCTATAGCATTCTTTTCTTTTGGATTGGTAGAAATTAGGGGTCTGTTTGTACATTTCAAAGAATTTACCTAATATTCACAAAGATGTTAGATCATATACAGAGGTAGACAATAAATGGCAATTGATTTGGCTCTAGGCTACATTCCAATGTTAGAGCTTCTTTTCAGGTACTTTTGTTCACATAGGGAAAGTAGAAGAAGGCTACTAGTAAAAAGATAGTTGGCTTTGAAAGAGGAAATAAAGGAGGAGAGTGTATGTGGGGGTGAAGAGACTCAGATAATTCTGTGGCTCCCTTGGAATTCTTGTCCTATTCATAAAGCTATGACCCTCCATTCTCTGGGAAAGCAGAAGGGGTACCAGAAGGTTGCCCACAGTCTACAGAGAATGTTGATGGATTCCATGCCTTTTCATGCCTCCCTTCCTTGGTCAATGTTTGATTTCCATAAACCCAAACCTGCTTTTTTTGTGCTTTCTTAGCTAGACCTAATCTGTTCTCTTTTGATCTGTAGTGGTATAGATGTTCACTATGAAGTCACCTTCAATGGTGAGGCCATCAGCAATACCACCTGGGACTTGATAAGCCTTCACTCCAACAAGGTAGAGAACCACGGCCTCATAGAATTGGATGATAAGCCGACTGCTGTTTATACAATCAGCAACTTCAGGGGTTATATTGCTGAGACACTGCAGCAGAATTTTTTGATGGGAAATTCCTCTTTGAATCCAGATCCAGAGTCTCTCCAGCTTATCAATGGTGAGTTGAATAATAGTCATTAAATCCTTGTACAGTTTCTGTTTCTTTCCCAATGGGATATGGTGAAGGCTTCCTTAATATGTATAACTTTACATTTTCCTGGATTTCATGAGTTGAGACCCATCCTGACATGTGGAACTTCAGCAGCCCTTTGCGATAGATAAGCAAGGGCTTTCTGGGATATCAGTAGGCAGACAGTCACAGAGCAGGGAAAGCAGAGAGTAGCACGGCATCTTGAAATGATTTGAAGAGATGGGAACAATGTATAAGAAAAAGGAAGGTAGTACCTGAAAATATGAATCAAAATAGGCTGCAAGGTAATCACAGGATGAACTCTGCAGAAAAAGTGAATTGGTTATGGCTTAAAGTCAGCAGAATAGACGGGACAGCTGAGGGAAGTAGACAGAAGATGGCCAAAGAATGGGTGTTGGGAAGAATTCCAAAGAGTTCAATACAAGTTAGAGTTCAGATGGATTTGGATCATCAAGGAGAATGGGACCACTGTGATCTGGAGGCTAGAAGGGTGTTCCAGTCAACCTGGGACTAAAACTTGTTCACTGTCAAGCTTCTGTAGATAGCACTTTAACCCATTAGGGACATGGTGTCCTAACTTATTTGCTATTATTGCTTTTTTTTTTTCATGTTTGCTGTGTGTTGGTGCCTTTACTTTGGTTAATTTAACTTTTTAAAACTTCTAGCACAGTGTATTTTACTGAGAGAGTGGGGAAAGTACCAGCTACTAAAGAGGAAAATAAGAAACATACTTATAATAGTGCATTACATTTTTTTACATTTACTTATTTATCTGTGGTGTGTGTGTGTGTGTGTGTGTGTGGTGTATATTTGGGTGTATACTGTATTCATGTGTGTATATGTATGTCAGAGAAAGAAAAAACTTTTACCATATATGCTAAGATTCCTTGTTTCCCAAAGTTAAAAAAAATTACTGGGCAGAACTAATTCTTAAACAACTTTGGCTGATGGACTATGTTTCTTTAATGTTGACATTGTGTTGATATAGAATCAGAATGTGATCTGAACTTTAATATGGTTTACATAGGATCGACTGAAGATGGAGAGGCACTCACTCTCTCTAGGGGTAACGATACAAAGCTATGGGCTTTAAAACATTCGAACGGTGGGCACTCTGGGATCATTTCCTCATATACTGTTGTTGAAATACATTCCAGAAGTTAGGACTAGAAAAGTTTCTTGTAACCTAAAACTAGGGACTAGCCATGGTGACCTCACATGGGCAACAGACTCCAGGCATATTTGTAAGCTAGTTTAGTAAAAGCTTCAAAAAAAAAAATCCAATACTGTCTGGTTCAGGTGGCATGGCCTTTATGTTAGATGTATAGTTTAAACATTCAAAATTTTGTTACTAAAATACATTTCTGTTTTCATGCCACCTTCCAAATGAGGCTATAGGTTTTTAGGTACTCTGATTTCTATTTCAAAAAACACGGTCATTCTTGAGCTTGAAAATCTTATTTTGCATAAAGGATGAGATAATTTATACATAGCTGTAAAGAGCTTTCAAAAAACTTAAACCAGGTATGACTCTCTGCTTCTGATGGATTCTTGTGTGTCAGGCCAGTTGGAACAGGTGAATAATGAGACTCTGTCTTTATTTTAGAAGTATGTGCCAGGCCCCTCTCCTAGAAATCCCTTCTTTTTGGCCTCTGCTGATTCCTTCTCCCGTTCAGGAAAAGTCAGTTCTTGTACATTGTGTGCGTGTGCTCACATTGCTTCATAACTTCCAATTTATGTTTATCTTTCTGATGCAGAATGCTTCCAGATGAGAAAATTGCCTTTATTAATGTTTATAGTCTCAATTTTGGCAATGCCTGTTGTAACTAGTAAGGATTCAGCAAATGTTTGTTGAGTTAAATTATACAATCTACTGTTATTTCTTTATTGTTTAATATTACTGAAGCAAATGATGCCTAGTCCATTTTTCAAAGGCTTTTATTTCCAAAAAAGAAATAATTTTGTATACTTTTCTATTATCTTTGAATTAATC